ATATCATAATATCGAAGGTACGAAAGTGATAAGAAAACCTTGATTGTGATTCTCTATTACCTATTATGATACTAAATTTTTTTTTATGAAGAAAAATTTATGGGAAGGGAGGCACCCATCCTAGGACTAGGACTTTATGATACTAATTTCGTTCCTTGTTATCTTTTCTGTTTTTTTCTTTTCCGAAAATAGGTCTAAATGTATGTTTCTTCAAGATAAACAAGAAGTTATTTTATGTAATTTTAAATACTGAAAACGAGTGAGAAAATAAGATCAGTGGGTCGAAATATCAGCACTTACGCAAATAATATTTTGAAACAAAAAAACATTAACCAAAAACTTGTACACATTTTTTCAACCCAGATAACAAATGATGCTCATTATGAGCCTGAAAGGAATAGAAACCAAAAAGCTCAGGCCAAAAAGAAACAAACACGCACAGAAAATACAAGTTTTGTTCATTTGAGTGATATTATCATAACATCAAATAGCATCCCTCAAGAACAATATATCTAAAATTCCAGATCCAAAAGTCTCATTACAAAGTGACCAGAATGGGCTATACATATTCCGGTGATAACAGCACTCGCGAAACGCATACTGCAACTCATTGCTAGTGTACAATCCTGAATACAAGACCTCCAAAAAAGGTAATGGCCACTAGTAAAACATTCCAGGTTAACCAGCAAGCGGGTTAGCATGAATGGTCACTCGATTGAGCCTGATCTCAGCAAGAGGTCGATCCCCAGGTCCAGTTGGAGTCTGCACAAAATCAAACACATTAGATAAAACCATTTTTAAACAAAGAACGCCGAAGAAAATGAACAACTTTAATCAAACATTGCAAAACCAACTCGATATTATCTCTGTAATAATATATAGTTCATCGATAGGGCTATAGTCCTTCACCGGTGTGATCACGACCACTACTATTTCCATCAGAACAAATCATAGTTCATTATATCTTTTCAATACATCAGGGAAAGACAGTTGTGGTACAGAAAACATAGATTAACATCAGATGAAATGAATGAACCAATAGCGTATGCACATCCAGATATGTTGCAAATAAGCACAAATTATCATACATCATCAGGGCATAATTCACTTTATTCACATAAAGGGACACTTGGCTTAGTTAGCACAATACCTTTTCCATGATATCAAGAACTTCAAACCCATGGATCACTTTGCCAAATACAGTGTACAATCCATTTAGATGAGGCTGCTTCGCATAATTAATGAAGAACTGGCTTCCATTTGTATTTGGACCACTATTTGCCATTGATAGCATTCCCCTAGCATTGTGCTGCAAAACAAAAGAAAGGGGAAAATTGTAGCAATTTAGACATAAAAATAATGCTCAATACAGAAAACTACCAAACCTTCTAGTATACATGATATAATTAGATCTATGCTTGGGAAACAACATAACAAAACCGAGCTTAACCCAGCAAGCTTTAAAATAAGTTACCGGTACAGAGTAAGATCATCATTACCTTTAGAGACTCTCTTATCTCATCATTGAACTTCTTGCCCCATATACTAGTTCCACCCTTGCCTGTACCTGTTGGGTCTCCACCTTGTATCATAAACCCTTTGATATTTCTATGAAATATGGTTCCGTCATAATAACCGCTAGCACATAGTGCCAAAAAATTCTGTAGTGAAATTAAACATGAGAATGAGTGACAAAACTATCGCCATGAACAAAACATCAGTACTAATGTTCTCAGTTGACTCTACAAATTACTGCACTGAGAACAGAGAATCGGACAGGTCTTGCATGGAATGGTTGATATAGCTTAACTGACTGAAAGGCAACTTAAAGATATGACATTTGTCCAATCAAACATAATTCTTTTGAAAAAATAGTGAGGATTTTTGACAAAGGACAATGTTTGAATCAAACAAAATAGAGTTCCCAACAAATTTAACAACGAATTTCAGGCGTAAGTAATTTCTATGGTAGCTGTCCCAAGCGTCACCTAATAATTACAATCAAAGAAGGCGCAGAAAGAATTTTCTCGGGAAACAAACTCTGAGAGAGAGAGAGAGAGAGAGAGAGAGAGAGAGAGAGAATCTTCAGGTAACTGAGTTTACTGACCTCGGCGGTTTTGGGGACCTCATCGCAAAAAATCTCGCACTTGATGTCGCCCAGATTTGTGTGCAGAGTGACTGACTGAAACACCCACAAAATCAAATAACAGAAAGAAAAGGATCAAATCGAAGAAAGTGAGCTGCTTCGAAGTTGAAATTTTATGGAAGCAAAAGTGTTCGACGAAATTACACAGAGAAGTACAAACCATTTGCGTAAGACGAGTTTGTGCTGCTCGGGCTTCACAATTTTTGTAGAGCTTTCGCGCTATGGGCAGGTCTGGTCTGTTAGTGCGCTCGAGGGCTTTATTTATATCTGCCGAAGGGGTTGCAGTGTCGGTTGTACATTACTTTTAAGCATCAAGGAGTTGTACATATTTATTCTCATGAGACTTTTTTCAGAAAAAAAACAACAAAATAAATAAATAGATATTAACTCATTTGTTTTTTCTTTTTAATTTTACCTCAACTTGTACACATAGAAATGATGGTCATTAAATTTTCATTCTACTTCCGACCCCCCCCCCCCCACAAAAAAAAACAAATTTAATTTCTT